ATGCGCATTGTTCATGCTTCTTGAATATAAAACAAACTTCTTGAGGGCTCCCGCATTTTTCTGTTGTCAATGGAACTAATTCAAAATTTTCCTGATGGCACTCCCAACTTCCTTGAAGTTTTCTGGGCATTTTCTCGGAACATCTGTTAAGCTCCTGCATTTTTTTTAAATACATCGAATGCTCTAAAATTCTAAATTTAAATCTTGAAGTTTTACGATCTTAAGTTTCCACAATTTTTGGTATGTTCATGGAACATCCCTTAAGTACTCAGAAATTTTCCGAAGGTCTCTGACCATTTGTATAGATCTTTCAAAGTTCCAGAAATTTTATTGAAGTTAATGGAATTGTCATGAAGTTCTCCAATCTGCATCAAGTTCACGAAATATTCTTGAAGTTTATAGAACTGCCCTGACATTCTCTTGTAGTCCTTGAAACTTCTCTGAATATTTTGGATAATCTCTAAAGTTCGCCCTAGATGGATATTTCCGGAGTGATGTGAGATTTGGGCGTAATTGCATTTGTAAACAAACACGTGAATCGCCGATTTATCGTGAATAAAAGCGCAATCTCGAAAACTAATAACACTATCACGTAGAGGAATGATTTCTCTATCATTTGGTATAGTTTGTTTACGAGATTTAGCTTTAAATCGCGAGAAATTCGCGACTGACGTGTTTGTTTACAAAAGCAATTACGCCCTAATATCAAATCACTCTGGATTTCTGCGCCCAGTTAGTTTTGATAAAGTAAAAACAAGTCGATTTTCAGAATTGATTGCTCGTGAAGTTTAGTCTCCCTTAGCTCATTCGGTAAAGGCGCAGCTTCAAAGTAAGGAAGTGGTTGGAAAATTTCTCGACTTCCGTGGGCAGTTGAGAGCACGCAATATGCTAATATGCGATAAGTAATTAGCTTGAAATGCGAGGAAGTATAAGAAGGAGTAACCAAGAGTAACCATCGTGGTTCATGATGCAAGAAGGGCTGATAGTATTGCCAATATTTTCAAATAGAATGATCAGTAATCCAACAATTATAACAATAGATACATAGTATGGTTGATTTTCGCAACAGCCCAAGTAACAATTTTTGTTTAATGAAGGTTCTGTAAGCCATGATTTGAACTTGTAGACTGCTATAAAACCACGATAAAACTTGCAATGTTGCTTGGAAGGTATCGCTTGTAGAAAAAACGTACGGTGATTTAATTTGAATGCAGAAATCTAAAAAAAAAAAATTACGAAATTAGAAGCTTCTTAAAAAAAATATTTGGTCAAGTGGTAGCTTTAACTTTTAACGAACTGATAGATTTATATAGGGGAAATGGCTCTAATGTTGGCCTATGGATCTAAGATTGGGCCCATCGCTAAAAATCTGCTATTTATCAATTTTATCTAGATTAACGCGTCATTGGGACGGTACTAATGGATAGTTTTGGTCGCTTTTGAAAATTTAGTCGATTGCTGAATTTATGTATGGGGCCAAATTAGGAGCATTTAGGCCAACATTACATCCATTTCTCCAATACAATTTTTTTCTGTTTCGCTTCTAAAATACATGTTTTTGCAATTATATTCAAATCTCCACACATATTTTTTTAATAACTTGTCCTTGATATTGACAGGCACTGGCAGGTTAAATAAATCTATAACATTCAAAGTGAATTTAAGAAAGACAAAATAGCAAAAACAAATTAATTACAGACTCAACCTTCTCCGATTTGCGTGAAAATTTGCATAATTGTTTGTTATGCTTAATCATTCAGATTTGTCATCATTTCAGGTATAACATTTGATAACGGCACAAAAGCATTTGTAAACAAACTTTCTAAGGCCCTTTACACGCGAACCAAAGTACGCCCACGCAAACCGATACTACTTTCGGAAAGGTGATAGTTGCCCCTATTCGATGATGTTGTTGGTTTGCGTGGGAGTACTTTGGTTCGCGCGTAAAGGGCCTTAGAAAGTTTGTTTACAAATGCTTTTGTGCCGTTATCAAATGTTATGCCTGATTTGGTCATTTTGAATCTTGCAAATAAAAATTCGAAGTAATGAATCCCATATTTAAAAAAAATCGTTACTTGAAAACGTAATTTCCAATCGAAGTGACGTCTGAGACAAAGATGCAGGAAACAATAATCTCTTTTCATAAAAAAATATACACTGAAAAAAATACAAGTAATGTTGGGTTCAAAATAAAAAAAAGTGTTTAAAATCTGAATCACAAAAATTGGCTATTTTTAATATTTTTAAAAGCTTATTATCAAATGCTAACATCTGAGTAATGCCAGGCAAAAGCGAAAAAAAACAACAAATTTTAGATTTCACCTCTCAAAATTCCATGAAAATTCGCATAATTGTTCGCTAGAGGTAATATACCAAGTTTGCGCTGAAAATTGGTCATTTTTACATGCGCCTAATTTTTCAAAATGGTTTTTTTCGAACATTTTCAATAAACCATAGCACGAAAATGGTTCGTCTAATCGAAATATCGCCTAAGACAAAGTCGTAGAAAAGTGGATTGTTTTTTCAGAATAAAAAAAAACTGGAAAAAAGGTGAAGACACTGTTTTTAAGATTTCCCACCGTGATTAGCGTATGATCCGGAATAATTTTCTTGCGGAGCTGGGTCTCAAAATTTGCACAATGTTTAATTTAAAATTTAATGGGACAAGTGTTTTTTTATGCAAGACGTCAGAAAAGAACTTCTAAGGGTAAGAAAATGGTCATTCCAACGACCTCTTTTCGTATCTTGAAGTAAATTGAGGTAAGAAACTGATCATAAACTTGCTGAAAACTTTAAGCGAATAAGCAAGCCTTTTGAGCATGAGCATGAGCATGATTGACCGCCCATGGATGCAACTCCGTTATTGCCAGCTGTAAGGAATCATTCTCAATGTGTAAATGCTGGTGATCTAAAACTAGGCAATATCAGCGCCGGCCACGTCCGAATGCTGATCAAGAAATGAATACGTAGGAATATGTTAACACAATACTCGCTTTAATGAAAGCCGAGAACACCTCTGCACTTCCACGAGAAATCACTGGGATGTTGGATAAAAGGGATGTGCTTGCAGCAGGGTTTCTTTTGGTAAACGATTTGCTAAATTTCTGTCCTAACGATTCAATAGCGCGAAAGAGCGTGGGATTGAACCCACGGTCTTCTGTTCAGTGAGCAAAATCGGTCACCACTAGGCCACCGAGCTCCTTATATCACAAAACAATTACGATCAAGTTTCCGTTCAACTTGTTGTTATCCCGGCGGTGACCTCACCAACGACGACGACATCAACTGCTCTTGAGAAGGAAGAGGATTTGACAAGTCTTTCCTAAAACTCAAATATTACTTTTTTTACGTAACCGAATTTCTTTACCCTTTACATCAGCGGTTCTCCAACTTTTTTCGATTGCGACCCTTTTTTAGGAATTGTATAAGCTCGCGAATATTAAATGCAGATGTTATTAAGCCAAAATGATATTTTAACGGATTGAAACACCAAAACACCCAAATACTGCATACACACTTAATCTAGCTTAGTAAAATCTCCTACAGCCAATAACCTCGGCATTTACTTTTGCTGATATCTCTGCTAAATATCTATTTAATAGCTGATATCTCAGCAAAATTTTATTTGTGAGCTGAGTCTCGGCAATTGTGTTAACTGAATCTCAGCAAAATAAATTACAGAACTACTCGGCTGTTGGAATCTCGGTGAAAAAAATTAAGTGTGTAGAAAGATAAAATAGCAAGAATCGAAATTGTGATAAATCGAAAAAACCGTCTAAGAATTATCTGAAGACTCTGCAAGAGCTATCTAAACGCATGAAAGGTATAAAAAATCTACTATTAAAACTACAGTCAATCTCTCCACATCTCGATGTTGACTAACTCGGTATCAAGTTATAGAACCATAGTAAAAATTAATTTCATGGCTACTTTGATAGCGATTTTGTATGGAATTTTTATTCTATAGCTCGATGGTACCTTGAATATCGAGTTGCAGAGAGTTCACTGTAATTTGAAAACGACCTCATAACGTTGTTAAAAAACCGAGTCAAGACCTTCTTTTAACACCAGAATGACCATTAAAAATCGCTAAACAAGATTAAAACAGCCTAGAATTGCATTATAAATGCTAAATTGGTCTACAAATCTTATCAACACCCTGAAAATTACACCTCTTATAATAATCATGACACGTTAAAATGGGCCTAAAATACCCAAAAATAGTCCAAATAAGTCAAAATGGCCCAGACTTTCCAAACTGGCTGTATAATGCCAAAATGGCCTTGAAATTGATTATCCCTGCATAGTTTTATAATCAGGTTCATTCTGCATGCAATTAAAAAAAAAAATCCAGTTATCATCGATCTGAATTTCTACGACCCACCTGAGGGCAGACTGTGACCCACCGGTGGGTCACGACCCATAGATTGAGAAATGCTGCTTTACATCGTATTATGAAAGAAAGCCGATTTAAAGTAAAATTTAATTTAAAGGCGCTTGGGATTGAACTCAGCTCGCAAGCAAAGTTGGTCGCCACAAAGCCATCGAGCTCCTTATATCACAGTAAAAGTACGATCAAGTTCCCTTTAAAATTGCTTTTACTTGATTTTGGTCCCGGCGTGGAGCTTGCGTTATGGAATACTTTGGCACGCGTCATCACAACGGCAACCGAGCAGGCATAGCAGATCAGGTCTCGGCGGAAATTCCCGAAAGATTTGCCCACTGCTGTTTGATTGAAAACTTTTCCCCCTTTAAGCGGAGAGCCGCGACGACCAAAACGGGGCTTGCAATTATAAATATAAACTTCTACCGTGCGACTCAGCACGGCAGTCACCGATGAAATCCACGACTGAAATCACTGTCCGGTAGTGAGAGCTACCACTCTCTCATGACGAAACGTACAATCCATTACATCGCCACAACATACAGTACAAAACGGTCTAGTCATACTTGTGAGTGTTTTTTTTTTATTATTAATTATTTCTCAACTTTAAATATAGCAGAAACCATTCGTTGTTCTATAGCAATCATAATAGGGCAAGTGTTAGAATAAGAAACACAATACTTAAATAGTCATCAAACTAGTGCAAACAGGCAGTGGGTGTTTGTGTGATAAGGCCACATCCAAAATAGTGCGACTTAAAATCAGAAGTAACCGAAAACGAAACCAAAACCACAACAAACAGAAAAAAAACGTGAATTCGCGATGCTTACCGTCAATGAACCGGTTCGGAACGGTGCGCTTTGGCGCGTCTTCCTTGTGCTGAGTGCTTTGGCGCACGTGGTGCACGGTGCCGTCATAATACAGAAGTATCCGTTCGCCGCAGACAACCGACTGCAATCTGAACTTCCACCAAGCTGTCCAAGGTAAGCGAGTTTTCCACCACCGCCGCCGCCAATATTGCTGTTGATGTGTGCAACCAGCTCTTATGCGCATTCGAATTGAAAAGTGCCAAGCCCCCAAAAAACCGAATCCACCACAGTTAAACACGCGCACAGGTGTATTGATGAGGGACGATGAATCAAGTGAAATGAAATGGCTTTTTTCTCCTTGAGTTGGAGAGTGGGATTTTTTAAGCTGTAAGCGGATGAATGTTAAACTGCGTCATTTGTGGTTGACTGTTGGGCGATGGGATTTGAGAGAAGACCAAGATCGTGACTCTGGAAATAGAAATAGATAGCAACAGATCCCAGTCTCACGAGACTGTTCTCTATGCTGTGCTGTGAGCAACCGCAAATGGTTGGATGTTCCGGGATTTGCATTCCAGTTACCTACGTACCGGATTGAGCAGCAAATGACAACGATGGGTATTCACAGGTGTAGATTTATACTTGATTGCTCAGGTGCCAGGCCTCTCGTTGCAGGTGGTTTTTCTAGATCTATTCACGAGATCACAAGGTTACGATTTGTTCTTCTGTATAAAACAGTTACGGTAGTTAGTTACTGATCGTATTCGTAGGTTACATCCCCCTGTCTCATATCATATAATTTAGCAGAGATTTATGAAGAGTATGGTAGGTACTTTTTAAAATCTCTATAACCTTGATCTTCTAGTGGGATTTACGTGGTGTATCGTGTAGAGTTGTATATTTTTGGCTTACAATTACTTTGGCGTGCTCATTGCACGAGTTTATGAAAATAAAATTTGCACTTTGTCGTTCTTTGAAACAAAATATTATAAAATATATAAATATTAAATATTTTCGTTTAGCACTAAAAGGAGCCAACATTGACATCAGTACCAACAATTTATTGAAATTACATAGTTTTATTTTGATTTTACAATTACCGTCAGCCCTTCATGTTCGATATTGAAGGGAAGACAGAAGATACGGCGATGTAGTGCCATTTAAATCAGCTGATTTTTTGTGTCTCCAAATTATCCTAGAGTGAAGGCCTCGATGTTTTGGCTCGAAGTGTTTTGATACACACATTTCAGTTAAATATATAATGTTATATGGAATTAAGATCTTGAAATTCTACAGTTTCAATGAAGTCTTGAACTATGTCCTCATGATCTTTATGAGTCAGTGTAGCTCAAGAGAGCAATTTTACAAGGTGCATATGTATATCATGGAATCAACAAGATGTTTAATGCTCAACGGACTGTTCTTGAGCTAAGATCTTGAAGTTCTAGGCTCAATGAAGTCTTGAATATTGCCGTGAATATTTTAATAAGTCCGTGTTGAGGTTCACGCCTCTTGAGAAAAAAAACCCATTTTGGTATCAATAATATATTAAATGCTCCTCTGTAGTTTAGATCTTGAATAGGCCATATGATGTCTTGAACAATATCCGCGAAACTTAAGATAGCCTTTTGAAAACAAGCACATCATATAAGATTTTTTTTGCTTTCAACATTATTCTGGAGTAAGATCTAAAAGTTCTACTGTTTGAATGAACCTCTTGATAACATGCATATGGTATCAATAAGATATGTTATGCTCTTCGAAATATTCTGGAGCTAACATTTTGATGTTCTACTGGCTCAAAAAAGTATTGAACAATGTCCTGAATATATTAACGAGTCCGATATGCTCAATACAGACTCATGACAACATGCACATCATTGAATGGTATCAATAAGATATTTAATGCTCTTCAAGCTATTCTGGAACTAAGAGCTAGAAGTTATACAGGCTCAATGATGTCTTGAGCAATATCCTGAAAATCTGTCCGTGATGCCCAAGAGAGCCAAAATACACATCATATAATGGTATCAATAAGATGTTAAATCAACCCAAACTATACTGGAACTAAGGTCTTGAATTTCTAAATACTCAATAAAGTATTGAACAATGTCCAGGAAATGTATATGAGTCAGTGAAACTCAAGAGAGACACTTGGCAAAATACACATCATGGAAAAGTATCAGTAATATATTGAATGTTCCCCAAACTATACTGGAGCTATTATCATGAAAATATACAGGCTCAAATTATGACTTGAACTATATATTTTGAGTCCGTCAAGCTCAAGAGAGCCTAGTGACAACATGCACATATTGAATGGTAGCAATAAGATATTAAGGCTCAATAAAGTCTTAAGCAATGTTCTGAAACAAAAACCTCTAGAAAACATGCTCATGGTATCAATAAGATATGTAATGCTCCCCCAAACTATTCTGGTGCAAAAATCTGTAAGTTCTATAGACTCAAATATGTCTTAAGGCAATATTGAAAATCTTTGATTCCACGAAACTCAAGAGAGCCTCATGGAGTGTTATCTATAAGATATTTAATACTTTCCAACCTATGCTGGAGTTAATATCATGAAGTTATACAGGGTGACTGAATAAAACGGTCCCCATTAAAAGTCCCACTATTTCATTTATTCCAAAAGTAAGTTTTACGAAAATTGATCAAAATGTTCGAGAGTCAGTGTAGATTTATTCAGCATCAGCTTATTCAAAATGAGAGCCTTTTGCTCCAATAATCTTCGTCAAACACTGGAGCATCTGGCTCGCATGATTTCTTCTGAAATATCGTCGCAGGCTCTTTGTATAGCTACCATAAGAACGTCCTTATTGCTTCTTGGTTTAGCATTAGTCGCCCTTTCTACGATGCCCCCACATCGCGAAATCTAGCGGGTTATTATTCAGAGACAAAGGAGGCCACAGTTCCTTCGACCAAAAATGATTGAAGTTCTGTTGACAGCACGCTTGAACTCGTTTGGCTGCGTGAGCAGGTGCAGAATCTTGAGTGAAGCAAATTTCTGTGCCTGTAAACTCCGACTGGACTTAGGGAAAAATTTTTTGTTGTAAAAATTCCAGATATACCTCCTGGTTTATTTTTACCCCATCCGGAATGAGAAAAACAGGAGATTTCTTCCCATTCGATGCAACTGCTGCCCAAATAATCACCGAATCTGGTTTTTTGCGCTCTGTAGACGAATTTGTTGTTGGGATCAGCCGAACTCCGATGCCTGTCCTTTTGACGGTTAAATTTGCGGCCGACGTCAAATAGCATCTCATCCGAAAAAATCACCACGTCGCAACGTCAGGGGTATCCGCGAGTCACTTCTTCAGGATTTTGCTTCTTTCCAGACGCTTCTTTCCAGCCGCTTCTTTTTTGCTGCTTCTGAGAGAAGTTGACGTTTTCCAAGATCCTTTTTAACCACGGTTTGCATCGTCACACTTGATAGTCCTTGGCCATTTGATTCATAGACCTTACCGGATTCCGACGAATTTTGTGGCCACCGCCTTTATAAACGCCCGACTCCGAACAGAACGGGGTCTCCCTGTCCTAGGTCTTCTTGAAGCTCCACTCCTATCGTTTTTTGCATCGCCAGACAAACTTTCGATTCACACCAAGCAGCTTGGTTATCTCACCCTCACCGACCGACTTCTGTGTCTCCAGCAGCTTGAAAACTGCGAGACGCTTCGATTCCCAGTCCATATTTCTGTAATATCACTGTTATCACGCTGATTACTTCCCAGGGGAACGTACCTATTTACACTAACGTTGAGAATCAGATACGGGCTCGGGTTTGTTTACCAATTTTTGACAGTTCAAACCAAGGGGACCGTTTTATTCAGCTACCCTGTACAATCTGTATGATGTCTTGAAAATTTTTACGTGTCCGTGAAACTCAAGAGAGCCTCTTGATAACATGTACAATAGGGTGGGTAAAGTTTGTATGGTGGGTCACAACCCCTGCTCCTCGCTGCTCTTTCGATCTGTATTGAGGTCCCCAACAAGTGTGCCAAATTTTAACAAATTTTTATAATGATCTAAATTTGCGAAAGAACTTTAAAATTTGTCTAAAAAAAATGTATGGGAATCAGATAGAAACTATCGATTAGCTAGTCGAAAATTCAACACTTAGATTAAGAAGACTCTGCAGAACAAGTTTATCTAAGACTGAAAATCGATTCGACCTCTCTGAAAAAGTTGGTATATTTTTATTTGAGGCCTATTGCTTCGGACATGTAGGTACGTCCGAAGCAATAGGCCTCAAATAAAAACATAGCAACTTTTTTCACGCAAGTCGAATCGATTTGCAGTTTTCGACAAACTTGTTCTGCATAGTCTTCTCAATCTAAGTTTTTAATTTTAGCCTAAAGTAAAAAGTTAACAACTTTGCACTGAAATCGAATCAATTTACGTTGTTTCCCAATTAGTCTTTCCGATCTAAGTCCCATGTTTTGTAAAAATGGACATTTTTTTTTAATTTTAACCAGTAAATATTACTAGCTTCCAAATCCCCTTGCAAAGATAACCTCAATACAGATTGGTTCACGAACTACTCTGGGGAAAAGACCTTGAAGTTCTGCATGCTCAATGAAATGTTGAATAGTGTTCTACAAACCTTTATGAGTCAGTGAAGATATGTTATGATTTCCAAACTATTCCGGAGGTAAGATCTTATAGTTCTACAGACTCTTTAATACCTTGAACAATCCTCTGAAAAAATTTATAAGTCTGTAAAGCTCAAATGCTGATATGCACATCATGAAATATATATTAGGCTCTTCTCGTGTTACTTCTAGAATTGTATCTCAACAGCTTTGTATATTTGGTATAATACTCACACACATAGAAATCACTAATTTAACACGTGACGAGCCGTAAACAAACATGTCATGTAATATTAATTGCTCCGAGACTGAAAAGATCGTTGCTCGGCGAAAAGTACGTTTGAATGAGCTATATTTCGCGTCTGTTATGACTCAAATTTATGTCAAAATTGACGCTCGTATATGTCACTCTCAGTGCACCTAAAGCACATGATTTTTTCTAAGGGTGCAGGTAATAGGTAGTAATCACGATTGTCATTTAATTTTTGTGAATTGAATAACTAGCTGGAATGCACGTGCAAATTTAAATTTATTTTTAAACGGGTTGATTTAACATCATAAACGATT